GGGGGGGGGGCGTACTCGGTTGTTTGTATGCCCTAGCGGTTTGACCAATGATTGCGCGTCCTCGAGGGGTCGGAGCAAAGAGGGGAGTATGGTTGTGCGGAGTAACTGCTAGGGAGGCAGAGATGGCAACAGTTATCTTCTCTTCGTCCCTCGACTCTTCTCGTCATGGAACGGTGATTTTTTTCGCGTCCCAGTCGAGAAAAGTTGACGTGTTTGTTTCTTGATTCTAGAGAAGTCGCTCGCGCTGTTTCTACCTCCCCTCTCAAGTCTACCAGCGACAGCTGGGGAGATCGGGAGCCGCGACTGTTCCAATGGCCCTGAGATTACGTACCGCCGAATACCATGTATGGGTTGAACAGGAAAGGGAGGGAAGGGGATGGAAGCAAAGCCAGAGCGAGAGAGGGATCGGAAACAGGGCTGGGGAGCGGAGGGGGGCACGGTCCAACCACGATGCGACACGTTTTCAACGAATTGAAGAGGAAACAAGCACGGGCATGTACAGCTCGCTGTAGTTATGACACTCAGCCCGAAACCTTGGTAGCGACCTCGCGAGAGCCGGCGAAGTGGACGACGTAATTTTGCTCTCTCCCTTAGGTGGTACCTCGATACTGGGACGTCCATCCCGTGCCCCTCCCCCACCCTCCCCAAAAAAGCTCTGCCCCGAGAGATTGACGGTAAATGGCGGCTAGGTGCTTTGGGAGGGTGGCTGATGGGCCCGAAAAAGGCGTCAAGAGAATGTGGCCGAGGCAGACTACCATGTGCAGAACAAAAAAACACGTGGAAACCACAGCGTGAACGGCACTTAAACGGGCCCCGCGCTAGCTAGAGCAACGGACCGGATTGCAGACAGAAGGAAAGCTTCAGGTGACATTACACAACCCCCCCCACCTTGAGTTTGCATGAGCACCCCCCCCCCCACCTCTTCCGAAAACATCTTCCCTGAATTAACCACAAATACAATTCTGCCAAGGATCACTAAGTTAATGGATTGTTGTTACTTGTTGTGTCGCCCCACCTCATTCACGCGGTCCAACTCGATGTCGAACCAGTCGTTGAGGACGCAGGACCCGACAGACACCGCGGCTGCGGCAAACGCCGTGAGCAGGACCTTCATTTATGCAAGGGAATATACACATCAGACAGCAGTGGCGGGCGGAGGGGGGCGGGGGGAGTTGTGACGCTCGTGGGGGCTTACGTACTGCGAACAAATATGCATTACTGCAAGTACTAGGATCATGGGCATGAAAATTTCGGATCCAAAATGGCACCACACACAAACACCAATTTCAAGGTACTTGGTAGTGTGGTGTTGCGCACTCTCCTTTCGCAAGAACTTCGGAACCCCGAGACTTGAACCCTGTCGTCTACCTTCCTCCGCGGACCCACCCTTGCTGGGGGAGGGCGCTGACGAAAAATAATGTTGGCGGCGATTGTTGCGTCGCTATTTGACTTACATCATGTCGTTGGCCAGGTTGACCTGCTGGTTTCGATTGTATGGTTAAGGCGCCCTTACATCCAAGAAACACGCACATACGCACTTGCGCTCCATGGATGTATATCTATCAGTGTGCCGACTTCGATCTGGCCTGCTTGTTACCCTGCAGCGCGTGTTGGTTGCGTCTGTTTGCGTATTTATTCAGGCACGCACGCACGCACGCAGCCAATCGCTGGTCTGTCGCACCGAACGGGTCCCGAAATAAGAAAGAAAGTATTGAAATATCCCGTCAAGTTGCAGAGGGTCAGATTGTCACATAAAAAAAAGAACGCAGGGTTGAGAAACACAGCTCAGCCGTGGATCCGACACTAAAAGCTATACAATGACCTGCGCTCGGCGGTGACGACGATGAGAAAAAATTGATTCCCGACCCGTACTACGTTGACTTTTTGTTGTTGGCGGGCCCGCGTCAACGTTAACCGGTAAATCGGGCGTCATCCGTAAATCAGGCGAATTGGTGTTCGGCTCGTGACAGCGTTGAGTCAATGAGTGCATCCGACGAAGTTCCGGTGCCGACCTCTTGCTTGTTTCTCCATTGGCAGTATTGGGAGTCCACACGGTACGCTCCATGGGCGTCCCATGGGACGGGTGGGACGTCCCACTCCTCCCCATGAGCCGGACGCACAGACGCATCGATAGGAGGACGCTTAGGCTGCTACCGTTGTCTTCTCACCCACGGCCACGCATGACAATTCATGGGCGTTTGATGGGCGTCCCCGCTTGCGTCCCATGGGCCACCCCACATTGACATGGGACATCCCAGGGGCCGTCCCACGCATCCCACCCCCCTCATGGGCGGCCCCTCAACCCTTAGGTGTCCCATGGGCCGTCCCACGATTCCCATACACACACGTCCCATGGGACGATCGGGGTGTTCCATGGGATGCCCTTGGGACGTGTGTGACATGTGGGAAGCGTTGGACGGTGTTGGACGGCATGGTACGGCCCATGGGACAATTAAAGGGTCGGGATTAGGGCTCGGCCGCCAATGAGGGCTTAGAGGCACGGCTCTTCTTGCTGAACGAAGAGTCTAGATAGACTAGGACGGCCCTTCGAAAACAACGAAAACAACGAAAGAAGTTGCGTCTTTGGCTGGCCTCGCTTCACCACACCACCTCGACTCCTTTTTCGAGGGGGTACATGAAAGTATCGCCGTTTTCTGGGGGATCGAATTTTCCGACGACACCATGAAAGCTTCTGTCCACTTCAAACATTGAAGTGCGGTGCCGCGTTCTCTCCAGTACATATCCCATCTCGAACGGAATGGAATAAACCTGTCAGCTGGAGTTTATCCACCAAGAACAGAACGAAACACTACACACAGCAGCAAACCACAGCAAACCAGAAGGCACTCACCTGGGTTAGCTTACAGGGGACACACAGCCCGAGCTAACTCTCTACAGTGTAAATAGGTACGTGCCTGTTGTAGCTGGGGCAGATATGAAACCACGACCAAACTGGGTTCCGCGCTGCATCAACAACAGTGGAGCAGCTGAGATCCACAGCGCCCGATCTTACTCTGCTGTTTGTTTGGTTTTCCGGTTGTTGAACACACCTTCGGTTCAAAGAGCGCGACGGCGGTGTGCGAGGCAACCAACGCCCCCGCCGCCACGAGGCCGAAGGAGGCCGGGATGTTATTCGGCCTCAGGATTTCCCAGTAGGCGCTGAGGTTGGGCGACTTCTTCTCCTTACTGCTGTCGGGTGTGGCCATGGCAGGGATCTCCGCCTTCGTAGTATCCGTGCTGACGACGACAACGTCATCGCCTCCGCCTGTAGAGGTGGCAAGGAGAATGACCCCGTCCGTCCCGCTACGAGTGCCGCCGCTCGACCTGGCCGGGATTGGATGGGCAAAAGACGCCCGCTGGTGGCGGTGGTGGTGCTGCCATCGTTGCTGTTGTCTTGGGGTTGACAAGCGACCGCCCATCGTAGATGTCAACAGCAGAACTCCGCCGTTTCTGAGCAGATGAGGCTTCACGAAAGCCCCCGCGCTTGACCATGTGCGGAAGGCTAGGAGGGCGACGACGAATCCTCGGGCTGCACGCGGCAGGGTCCATAGGGAGCTCACCATGGCCAGTGGGTTGCAGGCGTCTTGCTTGATACCAGGTATCACGCAAAGTGTGCAGACAGTAATAAACCGCTCCTCTTTTGTTCTTCAACACTGGGGGGATACGCAGAGAAATATGCCACGTACCCTCATATCTTCTCCTTTAGGCCCCCCGTTGTGTATCTGAGATTTCTCGCTCGCTGCCTGTGCGTGCCTCGCGGCGATTCGACACACTTGAGTTCCCTAGCTAAGACCTCGGTCAGCAGTTTTCGATTCCCCGCTCTGTGTAGAGCTATCTACTCAAACGCGTCTCTCGAAGCGCGTGGCAATCGATCGTCCACGGAGTGCGAAGGAGAGCGTCAATGCCTGTAAGTTGTAGCAGCATATGCCACAACCTTGCCGGCTAGCATCTACAGTAGTTCTGATAAGAGCCAGAAGAGTTAAGAGATTATGCAATCAGCAGATGACGTCGAGAGCACGGAGAAAACGAGCAGCCACCATCCCCGAGGCCGCGATGTTCCCTCCCAAGCGCCATCTTCACGGCCGGCGGGGGCGACGACAGCGGCCGCCCGGGCGCTATCGAATGCCGACAACCCTCTGCTCCTCGCCAAGATGCTGGATCTCGCAAGCATCACACGAATCTCATGGCTGTGCCGAAACACGAGGGCGAGCTTTGGGCGAAAGGCGCACAAGGTCTGCCTGACGCACGGGGCGGGCGTGCCCAAAGACAGGAGGGTGGAGTTCTGGATGTGCGTGCTCAACGTCAAGAAGGTCAGAGTGCCGGAGAGTTATGTACATGGTTTCTGCTATACTGCTGCTGTGGTACGTTGCACCTCTAGTCATCAACGTCTCTCTTGCCTTTTTGCCGAGTCCCCTCTAATGCAGCCGTGTACATACATACCATAGTTGAAGGGGGTTCTCGCTGAACACGCACACTCACTCACACGCCTGTGATGGGGTGGCGATACGCTCCTACTCGGTGAGCGTGGCTGTGATACGATCGCCGCGGTGGTGTCGGGGGAGGCTGCTCCGACAGCAACTAATCTTTCGGTCTGCACGCAATACTGGTTTTTGATCCGTTTCTTGACAGTTTGAAAGGTCCTCAAAAAAGGCGATTGAGATTATATTGTTCCGTGTTTCGGTCACCGAGGTCACCCACCGACTCTCATTACACAAGAGCATTTTGCCGCCTTCCGCCCAAGCCTTGGTGCGGCTGTAGTCTTGTTTCGTCTGAAGCGAGGAGCCCCCCCGGAGAAATATTTTGTTTCTGGCAAGGTACTTTGTGGCTGCGGAGGATCTAATAATGCGTTGTTCAGATCGAAAAAATCTGCCCGAAAACCCATGAGACACATCACATCAGAAAATGGGCGTTAGGCGTTGAATACGTACCGAAGATGACCGCATCTCTCTGCCCTTAGAGCTAAACCTAGCGCTCCGGCTTGATTGGGGGCATTATATGATGGGGCGTGGTAGTGGCGTCGATGTTGGTGGAGAGGTTGCACAAAAACGTCAGGTTCGCCCTCGTTCAGTCAACTTTTGTGGACGCGTATGTACCGTTGTAGCATACGAAGTACCACTCATGATCGCCTATTGAGCACGCCCGCGCCCCCGACTCAATACCAACATCGCTTCGTTGTTGAGGTAGCCGTGTGCTTCTTCTCTCTCGCCCCCTCCCCGCCCAGCGACTCTCTCCCTCTGCTTCTCCCCCCCCGCTGAACCTCTCTTTTTTCCTGTCTCTTGCGTCTTTTTTGGCCAATCTTTTCGACATCTACTGGCGTACCTCCCGGTGCAATAGGAAATGGACGACAAGGTGGGGAGAGCAAAGCGCGAGAATCCGGGCAACTACCGCGACGTGTACGAGGCTTGCTTGTACGGAGATGACAACGACGCGGTGGCCACTCACGGGTGTGAGGGGTCGCCCGACGCAGCGGCAGCGGCGGCGGCTGTTTTGGATGCGGAAGAGAGCCTGTTTGGCCCGGATGCCGCGAGTGTCGACGGTGATGGTGATGGCCTGGCGCTGCCGCCGCCCTCTGGATGGCGAGCGCTAAGCCGCAACGGCGCCGAGGGAGAAATATCCAGGTCAGCTTACGGAGACGGCATCTACCATTGGGAAGTATACATACAGTACAATGAAAAAGAGAGACTACCCGTAGGATATACAACCACAGCAGTCGAAGAGGATGGATTGAAGTCTTTTCAGTGGAGGGTTCTTTTGTCGTCGAACTTATCTCATCAAAGTGAGGCATCCTATTGTAATGTTCCGCCTTCTTGATTCTGCAACGAAATTCAACGTGAGATCTGAAGAACATGTACTTGTAGTGAAGATTAAAACCGGGGTAAATTGCTTGATTTTTGTATGGAACATCTCTTTGGAAATAACTCTTTGTAGATGTATCAGACGGAGATTTCGACGCGCCATCCACAACCTACACAAAGAGAGAGCAGGAGGGTGTCGATGAAACCACTCGCCTGTCCACTAGCCCTCGACAGGCATCGCGTGTTTGAAACCATTTCTGCCAGGAATGTGTGTCGATCGGTTTGTCAGTCGTGGAGGTGTTGCCAAACCAGCCTTGTAGTGACTTTGTTTTTACGTTTTTCAGCGTCCGGCCTCTGGCAAAACCCTAGTTGTAGTGACATCCCTTTTTTTCATTTTTCAAATGCCTGGCCTCAGGCAATACCTAACGAGATGGGGACCCACCACTCACCCCAAGTCATGATGCTGTCGTTGGCAGAATTTTAGCTCAGGGTGCAGATAACACCCGTTCAGTTGCAAAAGATGCAAACCCCCGTCATACACGTGATATCTGATTGTTGTTTCACCCTTGCGTGATGAGTATTTGGGGGGGTGTTTCGATTGGCACATCTGCAAGCATCTATCGTCAGCTGCACCACCTGTATGGTAGCTCGGACTATATCCAGAAGCGCATGCCCAGGAAGAAAATTTACTTCAATGCCTTATGGCCAAGACATCGCATCTTGAGAAAGTTTGGTCTGCCTCGACAGGCAGAAAGCGTTATACTTCGTTGGCAATTTGGTGAAGGGGTCGATCAAGCCGATACAGCCATCCTAGTTCTCTCTCTTTGTGCCTCTATTTCACGTGTCTCTGAGAGCACCTTTCTCTCTCTCCCTACCTCCCCCATGCGTCACTATGGCGTTTCCAACCTTTTTTTTAGAGAATATACACATACAAACACAGAGAGACTCACACCTCTGATGTTGCTCCGCCGCTACCGCGCTCTTCCCCCCCCCAAAACAATTCACAACGACAGAGATGTCGGCCGAACCTTCCCCCGCCAAGACTTGTTCAAGAGCCGGAACGGGCCTGGGCAGAACCTTCTCGCGAACGTTCTGAAGGCGTGCCTCAAGACCAACCCGGACGTGGGATATTGCCAGGTGCGCTCTTGTGCGACCGTAAGAGGCGAAGAGATGGCACCCCCCGTAGGCCGATGATTTCAAGACTCTGTTGCTCCACGACCAAGCTTGTGCCAACACCAATAATGGTGGTATTGGAAACATCTCGTCGACGGCTTTCCGTAGACGTATCGGGCTCTTTACGCACCCACTTGGCTGTGGAGCAATCAAGCTTTGAAACTCGGTCTAGGGGGGGTGCCATCTCTTCGCCTCTTACGGAATACCACGGTACGGTTTACGGTACGGTACAGACAACCTTGGTCGTGGAGCTATCGAGCTTTGAAAGTCGGTGTAGGGGGGTGCCATCTCCCCGCCTCTTACGGTAGGTGGACTACGCTGCTATTGTGTCCACCTAGCTTCACATGGGAACCCTTCAGGTACCCCCCACCCTGCAAGAAGGTGGAGGGTGAACCACGCGTGCCGCCGCCTGTCACCCACTTAGCCGTAACAAAGGTTGGGGCAAGCAAGCTTTCAGGCCTTGCGTTGAGGGCGAGAAGCAGTGGCGGGGGTGAGGAGGGGAGTGTGTGGCGGAAAAAAATGCGGTTTCTTCGCCAATTGCTACTGTGGTTGGCATTGGTGTTGTTCCTGATTATTGTGGTACATACAGCTAGTGTCTGGGTTCTGTTGCGTTTTTTAGTTATTTTGGTATACTTTGTGCCTTTGATGCCGCACGTGCAGGGCACGAACTTCACACTTCCGTTTTTCATCCCCCCCCCCCTCTTCGCCGAATATCTCACGGCGCTTCGCGCTTGGTGATGTGAGAGCCGGGTCCGGTGAGAACCCGGCGTGCTCCGTCCCGGCTTTGTAGGGATGCGAGGTCAATGGTCTAACGACTACGGTACGCACGACTATGAGTACCCCCCCCCCCCCCCCCCCCTGTTTTTTGGCTTTTGATGGCCCACACGTGCAGGGTATGAACTTTGTCGCGGGCTCGCTGTTGCTGGCCTGCGCCACTCGAGACCCCGCCGTGGGGGCACCGTGCTACCCTAACTGTGACCGGCGCCGCAGCGTTCGTGGTGACAGCAGCAGCAGCGTCGTCGATGATGATGGGGGTGGTGGTGGTGATGGTGGTGATGGTGATGTGTCCCCTTTCGTTGCAACCGCCACATCCATGGCGTTGTCTCCCACGTCCGCCTCTGCGTGGGAAGAATGGGACGATTTTGATGGGAGCGGGGAGGACGAGAGTCAGGTCAGTTTGGGTCGACGTCGTTGTTGTTGTTGTTGTTGTTGTTGTTGTTGTTGTTGTTGCCGTCATTGTTGTTGCTGATATGGTTACAGTCGTCGTGGTCGTTGTGATAGTTGATGTTATTCGAGCGAAGCGAGATTTCTAATCTGGCCTGAGATCTCGCCGCAATACAGCTTGTTGATGATGTGCCTGATGTTATCCCTCTTGCTATTGTTGCTGTGCTGCTGCTTCTTCTGTTGTAGTCGTCTTCGTCGTTGTCGTTGCTGTCATTTGTTGTTGTAACCGCTTTGGTCGTTATCGTTGTCGACATGTCTAGTGGTTTTTACTCCTTCCTCGCCCTTCGTAGACATTTCGAAAACTATCGCTAAGGCAGTAGATTCACCACCCGTTTCAAAAAGCACACCCACCAACCCGACGAAATTTCCGATAAGAGCACCCACGATCATCCGGACAGCAGCCATTCGCGGTTTCGTAGATGCTTCTGTTTCTCACTCCAACTCGAACAAGAACAACAGTCTTGGCAGGGTTTTTCGTATTTTGTAAACATGTTGGATACAGCATACAATCGGGGAAGTTGGGTTAGGGTTGAGGAATTGGGTCTGCGTACCCCCTCCCTGTTCTATTTTCCTCGTCAACTTACTTATCGCGCGAAGGCGGCCCAACAAAAAGCCCCACCCCCTCGTTGTATATTACGGTGGATGCGTTAAATTCGTCCGAGTGTTGGCGATGCCTCTATTTAAGTCGAGCAGGAAATAATAATGGGAATGTTTGCACGTGTTTCGTGTCGAAAGAGATGCAATGAATTATTGCGCCCACCCACCCCCCCGCGTGCGTCATGAACAATTCTTGCCAGCCTGAATGGAGGAGCGGCCCCGCGCATCTGCGTGCCGAAAAGGACGTTTTTTGGCTCATGCTGGCGCTAACGTCTAGGCTGAGCGGCGTTGGCTCGGGCCTTGGTATGCGGGAGCTGTGGTTACCCGGTGTCCCGCAGCTAAAGGTGACAACACGCACTGCTAAGTTGTTTGCATTGCAGCTAAAGACGATGCTGCTCACTTGATTTCATGGCAGCTCAAGGTGATGCTGCTACTTGTTTGCGTTGCTGGCGAGCCTCGGTGGCTTTTTGAGCGGAGAGTTGGTTCGTGTGTGCTTTCACCGCTATTGCTACTGCTGCTGAGGCTGTTCTTGTTGTTGGTGGTGGTGTACGTTGTTTCTGTTGCTGGCTGCTGCTGCTGCTGCTGCTGCTGCTGCTGCTGCTGCTGCAACGACCGTTCCTTATTCTCTGTCCGGAGTAATGCCGTCGCTGCTGCTGCTGCTGCTGCTGCTGCTGCGACGTTCCTTGTACTCTGCCCCAAGTGATGCCGCTGCCAATACCCCACTTTACGGCCCCCACTCTTTTTCCAAACGTCTGGGTTATTTCGCGTTGTAAATCAGGTGCGCGTGTTTCAGTTCGACAAGCTGATGCTGCGAGAGCTGCCTCGTCTGTACAACCACTTCAAGGCCAAGCAGCTGCAGCTAGAGGTGAGCGTGTGCGTCATGTCGTGGTTGCAGACATTCAGCAGTCGTCCTGCAGCACCCCAATTGATGCTGCGGCTCCAGTTTTAGATAGCGAGGAGTTTCAGCAGGGGCTGACGAGCGCGCTGCCCGCGGTTATTTGGTGATGCCGCGCCTTCCATGCCACCACACGCACGGCGAATCATAACTACGACATGGGTGTGATTCAGAACACACTGTGATACATGTGTCGTACCCATGGTGCATGAGTTTTCGGCCCTAACCCATCTGTCCCCTCCCGCCAGTCTATCGCATCTGCCCTTTGAACCACGCTGTCAGAGCCGGCGGGGTCGGTCGCACAGAGTAGCGTTCCTCCCCCCCCCCCCTGCTTCCCCTCAATTCCTCTTTCCCCGCCCCCCCCTACCGTAGGTTCCTCCCCCCGGTGCTTGCCATCGGGGTTGGGTTTTCGTCGCTTGGCAACGACGTTGTAAAACAAGCCCCCCCCTCGGTGTTTGCCATCGGGATTGGGTTTTCGTCGCTTGGCAACGACGTTGTAAAACAAGCCAATTCACTTCGTGAACTCGGCAACCAGGTTACCGTTTTTTTTTTTTTACCTCGGTTTTTTTTTTGGCGGTAACCATAATGGTGGTCGAGTAGATCATGTTGTGCGGGGTGGAGAAACCTCACTCCGCGCAACGGGGGATGATCGCACCACGTTGTGTTAAAATGGTCAAGCTTCCTCGAGGCAGTTACACAGTGCTTACAACTGTCTCTGGAAGTAAAAGCACCAGAAAATAAATTAAGTCATACGTAGCTGTCATCCGTACGCAAGGAAGTAAGCACAAGATGCCGAACACCCTTAGCAGGATGCAGCTCACCCTTCATGCGACTCGCCAAATACCTCACGGCGCTTCGCGCTTGGTGATGTGAGAGCCTGGTCCGGTGAGAACCCGGCGTGCTCCGTCCCGGCTTTGTAGGGATGCGAGGTCAATGGTCAAACGACTACGGCATGCACGACTATGAGTACACCCCCCCCCCCCCCCCCCCCCCTACCGTAGGTGACACAAGATACCACGCCCCCTGGACCGATTTTCATAGCTCGATTACTCCACAGCAGAAAGGGTGGCGGTGCCGAAAATAACGACGTTAGAATCGTGTCGCCGAGATCTTTCAGAAAACATGTCACTTTATTTTGGCATGCTCTTTGCCGTGGAGTGCAGTCGAGCTCTGATATTCAGTTCCAGGGGTACGGTATCTTGTGTCACCTACGGTACCTTTTCTCCATATCGGCAGGGTGGGAGAAGCCCGTCACCCGCTTCCGGTACCCGTTACTGGTGTTCGAAGACTGCCACTACCACTGTAACCGCCACAGCAGTAGCCTAGGCAGGGTTTTCCGATTATGTAAACATGTTGGATAAAGCACACAATCGGGGAAGTTGGGTTGGGGTTAGGGTCAGGGAATAGGGTCTGCGTACCCCCTCCCTGTTCTATTTCCTCATAAGCTTGTTAATCTCGCGAAGGCGGTCCCACCACAGCAGTAGCCGCGAAGAGGAATCACGCGATTCGAAAATAATGCCCCCCTCCCCCCTCCCCCCTCCCCCCCGGTGTTTGCCATCGGGGTTGGGTTTCCGTCGCGTGGCAACGACGTTGTAAAACAAGCCAATTCACTTCGTGAACTCGGCAACCAGGTTTATGTTTTTTTTTAACTCTGTTTTTTTTTGGCGGTACAGTAATCATAATGGTGGTCGAGTAGATCATGTTGTGCGGGGTGGAGAACCCTCACTCCGCGCAAGAGGGATGATCGCACCACGTTGTGTTCAAATATTCAAGCATCCTCGAGGCAGTTACGCAGTTCTTATAACTGTCTCTGGAAGTGAAAGCACCACAAAACAAGTTAAGTCATACGCAAGCTGTCATCCGTACGCTAGGAAGTAAGCACAAGATGCCGAACACCCTTAGCAGGATGTAGCGCACCCTTCATGCGACTCGCCGAATACCTCACGGCGCTTCGCGCTTGGCAATGTGAGAGCCTGGTCCGGTGAGAACCCGGCGTGCTCCGTTCCGGCTTTGTAGGGATACGAGGTCAATGGTCTAACGACTACGGCATGCACGACTATGAGTACACGCCCCCTCTCCCCCCCCCTCCCCCCCC